ACACTGCCGTCCGTAAAATGTGGGAAGGCTGTGTATCTTATTTATGTATCAATTAGATGTATTAATTAGATCATAGTATAGTGTTAATCAATCTCTTGCCCTTTTCCTATTCATTTACCACCTCTGCAATCTATTGTTTGCTTATAAATAAAAAAAAAATGAGTCAATAAAAAAAGGGGAAGTTGCTTGTTTAGTCACTACGCAGAATTTCTTTTTCAAAGTTTCCTCGATCCGTGGATCCGAGGAGTTTGCCAAGGAAAAGCCCTGGAAGCGAGCTTAGCAGTTCAGTTATTTCGCAGGACGTCGTACAGGGCTTGTCCTAACCTCCTGTAGAAGCCTATCTCATCAAAATCTTTGTATACTCATTAACTTTTAAAAAACTGTTTGCTTATCCATTTCTTTATTAACTGGTTGGTGCCATTTATTACTGAGGAGTGGGGATAAGAAAGACACGGGCTCCCATCAACTCGGATAGTGATAAGGAAAAGCTCGATGGTCGTTGGATACTTCTGTTTTAGGTTCGAAATTCGCTATGTACATTCTATTATTTAATGTTAAAAAAAAGATCAGGCCTCTCATCTTGTCTCGTGCGCGGTACAAATCTAAGAATCACATTCGGTTACTGATGAAATGAACGCAGACTTGCGCACTAAACGCTCTGATCTTCTACCCCTGAGCCACAGAGTGAGATAAAACCTTTATCAAACTTTACCATCTTTCTCATTGGTTGGATTGCAAGTCGAAACGTCATCAAATAGGGATTTCTCTTCGCGGATGAGTACCTCCTCGGAATCACAAAGGAAGATACGCCTCTGGGTATCTAATAATATGACGCACCTTGATTGTTATAACCCTATTTCAACAATTAGCGTAGGAAAGATTTCCTCAAAAGTGACCAACACTGTTCAAACAACCGCCTGAAATTCCTATTTTTCCTCCCTCTTCCTCTCCCCTGTCCGTCCCCGCTACTTGCCACTCGCATTTACTTTCTTTTCAGGAGAAAAGCAACCTCTTTGAATAAAGGAGAGAAAAAGGTGAAAATAATGAAATTAGTCATCAAGATAGCATGGACGTCACCGCCGCCATTGAGTAGAGAAGTTACTGCGCAATTTTTAATTCTTCACCCATTTCATCGGGTTTCAGGTGTTTGCAATTGTTTAAAAGGCAAGTTCGCTGAGCAAACCAAAGGGAACTCGAGGAACCACTGATAATTACATCATGGAGAAAGGTCAGATGGTAAGGACTAATGTACAATTATGTAAATCAAAAAGCGAAAGAAAGGCGGAAAGTGGAGTCAATAAGGTTATACAATTGAGTTCTGCTGAAGATGGAAACAACATCAAACTACCTTCCATGGCCAGTACAACCCCAACCAGAAGGGTGGCGATTTGTTCTGTGTTTGAAGAGGAAGACAGACGTTGGGGAATGGCTCTTGCAGACTATAGAAGAGATCTTGCCTTGAGAGATATTAGACTTATGTAATGCGCCTATAAAGTCGGATTCGTGCTTTTTTTTTTAATGCAGGGCTTTATTCAATGAGCTCTTTAAGTTTATACTCTTGTGCACCACTCAGCTTTCTTCTTTCTTCTCTGAACTATCTTTTCCGGCAAACATTGGAACTGAACATATAACTAGCGTCAAACGCTATCGGGATTCGATCTCGTTTTTTCCAAACAAGACGCATTTTGACCTGAATTTACCCAACACCGTTTGACAACTATTTCCGTGAAAGTCTGTCGTGTTCCCTTTAACAAAAGATCACCCTTCCCCCGTCCTTTCTTCTAAATCATTGGTGATTTTCGAGGTCCTAAGAGCACAAAATTTTTTCGCTCTTCGAAACTATAAATGGCACGACGCAGTTTTGTTTTGTTTTGCTTTTTTATTAGCGAAGCAACTTTCAGACCGGTTAAAACCAAAAAAATTTCTCTTTTGAATTTGCTTGTTTTACTTTGCCGCCAGTAAGAAGTGAAAGTAGCATATTTTAGCTCACCAAGCAGTAGACGTTTTTGTAAAGATTTTTTTAAAGGCAGCAATGGTTAAAGAGATAACCTCCGGTCTAAATCATCGGTGATTTTCGAACCTCAGGGAGCACAAGGTTTTTTAACTTTTCGAAACTAGGAATGGTAGGAGGTGAGTTTT